GAACCTAAACATTTTTTACAGGATCTCAAATCATACTGCTAAACCATAGTCATCAAGACAACTTATAGTGGTTTGAAAAAATAGAAAAGTAGATCATTGGAACAAGAAAGACCTAAAAGTAATTGAACACAGTAGCCCGGTGTTTTACGAATACCTAATGCCAAGCTGCTGGACAAGATCCTTGTTTTCCAGGAGCTGCTAGTAAAACAGGAGAGCAGTTTGGCAGAAGATAAGGTTAGATATTATACCATATGTGTGTGTGTACATACACACATGTGTACAAGAGACTATATATACAATATATGTGTATATGTATATATTACTACACACTATATATATAAAATCAAATATATGTATGTGTATGTGCATATATGTGTATGCACTGTGTATATATACATATATGCCACAATCTCCAAATGAACATGATCTAAATATAAAAAGGTCCTATTATGAAAAAAAAATTAGAGGACAGTGAAGAAACCTTACACAGTGATGACTAGGGATAGAATTCTTAAACAAATGAAGGATAGAAGAGATAATAAAATAGTCTATTAATAGATAGACTTTTAAAAAAAGATTTTGAATGAAATGAATAAATTAGAATCAGAAGAGATTTCCTACTTTAAATAAAACATTTCATAAATGTCTGATATTCAGATAGGGAGAATTAACACAAATCTATGACTAACATCTGATTCTAATAGATAACTGTGCAATACATAGATAATAGATGATAGATAATAGATAAAGGTACAAAGAGTTTTGAAAAGAAGGAATGCAACCTATCAGTAACCACCTGGAAAATTGCTCAAAGTCACTGATAGTGTAAATTAAAACAACTCTGAGTCTTCACCTGCCTCCTGTCAGGTTAGCAAAGATGATAAACGATGGAAATAATCCATGTTGGGGGCTAGGAGAAGACTGGCCTATGAATATCCCATTAGTGGAGCTGTGGATTGGTCTAATCTTTCTGCTAAATTAAATTTGGAATTACATGAGAAAAGCTGCTAAACTCTTCGTCCCCTTTGACCCAGCAATTTGCACTACTGGGCATGTCCTCTGAGGAAGTCAAAGACAAAAAGGTCTTAGGCTTGCCAAAAATATTCGGAGTAGCTTTTTGTGGCAGCGAAAACAGGAGACAAAAGTTAAGTGCCCATTGATTAGGGAATGCTTTTTACAAATTGCAGTAGCTGAAGGGAATGGAGGTCTGAGGTTTTTCCATGTCTTTTCCTCCTTAAATACTCTTCCTATTGGTCTCTCAGAGCCCACTTCGTCCAATCTGGCTGCCTTTCCTGGCTCGTTAGTTCTCTCAAGTGACATTGCTGACTTTGGCAAGCCTCCTTTAACCATGGACCACAACTTGACCGTTTCACAGTTAATTGAAAGATGTACAGAATTTAAGATCCCGTTGTGCTTAGTTTTTATTGATTATGAAAGGCATTTGATTTGGTAGAACAAAACGCAAGCTCTTGCAGTCTCTTTTACAGTAATGTGTCTGTCTCCCAGCCATGTGTCAAAATCCAAAGAGTCCTTGGAAGATAACAACAACAGAATAACACTGTTTGAGACAGCCAGGTGGTACAGTGGATAGAGTGCTGGGCCTGGAATCAGGAAGACTTGAGTTCAAATGTGGCCTCAGGTACTTAGTAGCTGTGTGACCCTGGACAAGTCTCTTAACCTCTGCCTTGGGTTTCATCTGTAAAAGTGAAGATAATAATAGCACTTACCTCTCAGGGTTGTTGTGAGAATCTCATGAGGTAATGTTCTTAAGATGTTTAGCACAGTGCTTGGCATGTAGTAGGTGCTTAATAAATGCTTATTTCCTCCTTTCTTTCCTTCCTACTCAATGACCTGATCACAAACGTTAGGTGAAGCATAAACCAGGGAGGTGTATGCTTGCCAAAGGCATATGCTGGAGATCAGTGAGAGGCCCAGGTCAAAGAGGAAATTTCAGAGGAAGGTGAGTCCTCTGGATTCTTCTGTTTGCTGATGACATTTTGCTTATTACATCAAACCCTAGAACACTGCAGACTCTGGAAGAGATCCACAATTAATTCAAGAGTTTGGTACTAACCATCCACACGGGAAAGATAAATGGATGAAGAATTTTTTTTTGCCCAGATTTCAGTATGTATTTGGACAGACCCCCAGAGGGCTTGTCCATCAGCTTGGATATTTAAGACTGACAGTACAGATGGACAGTGAATTGGGCCCACACTGAATTGGAAGCAGGAAGAGAATGGGCTGGATTGCTTTCAGAAAATTGCAAAGCCTGGGGCAGCTAGGTGGCGCAGTGGATAGAGCACCGGCCCTGAAATCAGGAGGACCTGAGTTCAGGTGTGGCCTCGGACCAGACACTTGACACTTACTAGCTGTGTGACCCTGGGCAAGTCACCTAACCCCAGTTGCCTAAAGAAAAAAAAAAAGAAGAAAATTGCAGAGTTCTTTTACTGACTTCAAGCCTCTCATGGAAGTAAAGGCCCATCTTTTTAATGCTAGTATTCAGCCAGTGACGCTATATGGCATGGAGACATTTTTTTTTCTTTTTTGGAGACATTTGAAGAATTAAAAGGAGTTTGTCCCAGAGGGCGATGGAGAAGCTCATGATGGGCTTTAGCCCAATGGGATGGGGAACCAATAGGGAACCTTGAAGAAGAAGGAGAGCAGAAGCTGTCATTGGGTAATCTCGTCAAGTGGCAAGAAGGGGTCACGAGAGGTGGACAGTGTGAGCGCTCCACTGGTGACCCTGGAACCAGCAGAAATCCAGGAAGGCCCCAGCTCGTGAGTTGGACCCCCATGGCAAGCTCCAGGGCGTGTGTCCTGTGGACCTGAGCCCTAGGATGGGCAAGCGCAGGACGGCTGTGAATGTCGTGACAGGAGAGAACTCCTGAACCCATGAGACCCCAGATTCACTTCAGGATTTGCCATTTGCCGTGTCTAGCCCCCTCAGATTCTTTTCTCCAACAAAGTATTCGTGATATGCATGGGTTTGCCCTCTTTCCTTGTTCTTCATCCATATTTTCTAGTGTGTTTTTTGCCATTCCCACTTCTTTCCTTCTGTGTTTGAAGTCACAGAGTATCCGCGACTGCGCTGATTTAATTTGTAGGGTTTCCGTGTCCTCCACCCCTTGGTCTAAATGCCGCAGTTATTCTCCTGGTCACCTTTTTGCAGACATGAGCGATGTAAGCTGCATTGAGGTTGTGTGACGTGGTGGTCTTGATGCTTTGATGCCCAACGGAGCCCTGACAACTCCGCCTGTCCAAGAAGACCTTGGGAGCCGACCCACTACTTAGCCACGGCTCCCTTTGTTCTCTGTTCCCGTGCTTTCTCTGTATTGTGAATTTAACCGTCTTCCACAAGAGAGATGATCGTGTAGGAATCCACAAGTGTAGGTACAGTTTTCTTCAGGCGTATATTACATTTAACAAGGTAGACCCACAATAGCTCTGTGTCCCCTTCTGACTCATTCTCCTTGCCCCATCCCACCCCTCAGTGTGGTAGAGCAGAACAAATCAACACATATTGCCCATGTCTGAAAATGCTTGTCTTGTTCCATACTGGCTTTTCTTTGATGGTTTCCTTTATGGTTAGAATGTTAGTGACGAAGATACTTTTTCTCTATTAGTGTGTCCACTCTTTGGTGGAGTACTTCACATCTAGAGTATTAATTAAGGTGGTCTTTATAGATGGTCTTACGACTGGGAGACTCTTAGCCCCTTCTGTCCTCTTCTCCACTGCTGTGTCATGTCCCTGCAGACGGCCAAGTTGTTTGGTGGTGGTTTCATGAGTTGTGGTTGCCATGGCCAAAGAATACATCACCAAGGGGCTGCCTCCTAGGGACCTGATGACTGGGCTGGACACCTTTCCAAGGACAGACAGCTTGCCCTTGGCTGCCTTGGAGGAACCTGGGTTGCTTTTGTGCCTCAGTGAGGCGTTGGAGTAGGGCTTGGTGAAGGTCAAAAACCTAAAGATACTCATTTTCAGAAATCTAGGCCTGTGATTTCCTTGGTATGGAGAGCCCCCAGTGCACGAACGCCTTCTGCCCTCTCAATCCTCAACTTAGAATTGAAGGCAATAAAAATGTAAAAAAGAAAAAAGAGAGAATTCTAACCTAGGCAAAATGGAGGGGTGGACAGGGTCCTGAAGCCTGGTCAGAGACAGATTTACAGGGGGACAGGGCTGGGGGGCTGAGCCCAGAGGAGCGTTTTTGTTTGTTTATTTGTTTGTTTTGGGCAAACTAGATGATACATTCATTTGTAGTGTAGGAAGCAAATCTGGAGCCAACCACGGTATTATCCAAGAATCAAAAAGGTTCAAAGCATGAACCTTCCGGGAGAGGTGGGAAGTGGCCTGTGTCCACTGGGGGCAGCAGCTTGGGAAAGCATCAAGACAACTGGATGGGGAGTCAGAAGAACCGAGTTTGAGTCCTGTCTTTCCTGGGTAGTTGATTCCCTTCTTTGGGTCTTTGTTTCCTCATCTGTAAAGTCAGGGTTTTGGCCTAGATCAGGTGTTCCTAACCTTGTTGTGTTACTGACCCCTTGGTCAGCAGTCCAGTGAAGTCTCTGGACCTCTTCTCAGAATCAAACTTTTAAATAAAATGCAGTGGACTAATTACAAAGAAACCATTTATATGGAAATGCAGTTGTCAAAATATTTTTTAAAAAGATATAGAGGAGATAGAGTACCAGCCGTGGAGTCAAGAGAACCAGAGTTCAAATCTAGCCTCAGACACTTGACACTTAGTAGCTGTGTGATCCTGCAACAAGTCGCTTAATCCTATTGCCTAGCCCCCTCCCCCAAAAGATATACAGACCAAAACCAAGGACCCCGGGTGAAGAGTCCTGGGCCTGTCTTTAAGGTTTCTTTTAGGCCCTGTGCTTTCTTTTAAGCATTAAAGGATGCTGGATGCAGCCAACATCCCTGACCTCCAAGGATGACAAAATAGAGGACACCTGTAGGCCTGGGCCTAGGCCAAGATGGCCCAGCTTGTGCTCTTGAAATCTGATTCTTTCCACTCTCCAGCCTGGCCCCAGGATTCTCTGTTCCCTTAGAGTGTAAGAAGCTGCCAGAGGCCTGCCGCTGCCAGCTGGGAGATGCGGAGGTCAGGGTGAAGATCAGGCTGACTTTTAGAATCAGGTTGGTTGGTTTTTGTCAACCTTGCTTTGTGGCTGCCAGGCGAGCGATGGGAGGTGACTGTGTGTGTGTCTGTCCTTAGAGCTGGTCTGGGAGACTGGGCCATCTGCTGGGCTCACAGAGCCAATTTCGGAGTGGAGTTGCATGGCTTCCTGTAGTGCAAGATGAGGGTTTAGCTCCTTCCCTCTTAGCCATTGTGGTAGGAAGGAGGAACCCCTGTGTTGGAGCTGTGGGAGTGGAGAGATGGCACTCCTTTGTTCTGGCTCTAGTGACCGAGAGGGCCTGACTGCTCTAGCAGGCCAGTAGCAGGGCCAGCCTTCCCTCTGCCACTTCCAAAGGCCTTGGCAGTGGAGAACGCCTTCCATCCCTACCCCCCACTCCCCTGCCCTGTGTTGCCCAGGCAGTGTCCAGTTCACAGGTTTGTCCTCACACAGAAGCATTTCTGTGCCTCTCCTGAATGCATTAGCGTATTCTCTTCTCTCTGTCCTTTCCAGAAGTTGGCCTTCAGTGGGGTTTTTTTTTTGGGGGGGGGTATTTCAGAGGAAGACCCAGCAGGAGACATACCATTATATCCATGGACCCTGACGTTGCAGGGGCTGAGGAGCAGGTCTGAGGGAAGTGGACGCTGCCCAGTATCCCTGGTTCTGTGCCCTGCCAGCCTGGTGCCCTGGGGCCCCAAGGGATGTCTGGAGTGGTGCTCCTGGCAGTCACCAGGCCGGTAGAGCAAGTAACCAAGCCTTAGCCACCCAGGCCTGATCTGTTCTCACATTCCTGGGCCACTTCCTGTTCCTCTGGTCCAGGATGCTAGGGAGGCTGAGGGCAGGCCCTCCAGAGCAGCTGTTTCATTCCCTTCCTTGTTCTCAAGGGCTTGGGGAGAGGCTAAGCAATGAAAGGTCAGAGGGCTCCCGGGGCTGACCACAGCTGAGTGGGGTGAGGTTACCATTGGTGCCCCTTTGCTCCTTTCCTTGCTGCTCACTTTGTCCCGTGGGTTGACGGCTTCTTACATCTTGTTCTTTCTCCTTGGAGCCCTGAGGCAGGGAGGGCTATAATAAAGAAGAACCACCACCAATGCTGCCAAATCATAGGCATATTCTGTCCTCAACAGTCAGGATTCCTGTTTCACAGATGAGAAAACTGAGGCACTTGCTTAGCTTCAGGGCACCAGGCCACTCCTCTTTCCACTGTAATTATAATAATAGCTAACATTTCTGTAATACATTAAATCTTGCAAAGGGTTAACAACACACACTGTCTCATTTGGCCCTCCAAGGTGGGTGCTATTATTGTCCCCATTATACAGATAAAGATACAGAAGCCCAGTGAGATTAAGTGATTAGCCCAGCTAATAAATACTTGAGGCAGCATTTGAACTCTGATCTCACTGACTCCCGGGTCTGCTTCGCCATGGACATCCTGTTGGCTAGGTGGAAAAGGACGCTTGAGGC